CCCCCCCCAGATCCAAGTGTTTATTTCGGGGTGGGGGGCTCACCCTCTGTCCCTGATCATGTTCCTCTCCCCCCAGATCCGGGTGTTTATTTTGGGCTGGGGGCTCCCACCCCTATCCCTGCTCACATTCCTTTCCCCCTAGACCAAGGTGTTTATTTTGGGGTGGGGGGCTCCCACCCCCCTTTCCCTGCTCACATTCCCCCCAGATCGAAGTGTTTATTTTGGGGTGGGGGGCCCCTGTCCCTGCTCACATTCCTTTCCCCCCAGACCGAGGTGTTTATTTTGGGGTGAGGGCTCACCCCCTGTCCCTGCTGACCCCCCAGATCCAGGTGTTTATTTTGGGGTGGGGGACTCACCCCCTGTCCCCGCTCACATTCCTCTCCCCCCAATCATTCCTTTCTCCCCCAGATCGTGGCGTTCAAGGAGGGCGAGCAGAAGGAGAAGGAGGGGATGCTGCGGCTCCGTCACGCCAACTCTCAGAAGGCTGCCCCGCCTCTGCCGGGCCCGGGGCCCCCGTCGTGCGTGTGCGGGCAGCCGGCGGGGCCGGGCATGCTGCAGTGCCAGCTCTGCCGGGACTGGTTCCACGGCTCCTGCGTGGCCTGGCCCCGCCTGGGCGCCCAGAAGCCGTCGCCGGCCTGGTGGGAGTGGGACGCCAAGTTCCTGTGCCCGCTGTGCCAGCGCTCGCGGCGCCCGCGCCTCGAGACCATCCTGGCGCTGCTGGTGGCCCTGCAGAAGCTGCCGGTGCGGCTGCCCGAGGGGGAGGCCCTGCAGTGCCTCACCGAACGGGCCATCACCTGGCAGGACCGCGCCAGGCAGCTCCTGGCCTCACCCGACGTGGCCGCGCCCCTGGAGCGACTGGCGGCCCTGAGGCACCGTCTGCACGGGGGTGATGGTGATGGGGCACTCCGGGAGAGCAGGGGCAACGAGCAGACCAAGGTGCGGGGGAGTGTTTGGGGGCTCTAGGGGGTGTTTGGGGCAACGAGCAGACCAAGGTTTGGGGGGTGTTTAGGGGTTTTGGGGGGTATTTGGGGTGACTGGCGGCCCTGAGGCACCGCCTGCACGGGGACAGCGGGGATGGGGTGCTGCGGGAGAGCAGGGGCAACGAGCAGACCAAGGTGCGGGGGGTTTAGGGGATTTAGGGGGTGTTTGGGGCTCTGAGGGCTGTGTAGGGGGTTCTGAGGGGGTTTGGGGTGATTGGCAGCCCTGAGGCACCGCCTGCACGGGGACAGCAGGAACGGGGCGCTCCGGGAGAGCAGGGGCAACGAGCAGACCAAGGTGCAGGGGGTTTGGGGGGTGTTTAGGGGGTTTGGGGGGTGTTTGGGGGCTCTGAGGGTGTTTGGGGTGACTGGCGGCCCTGCAGCACCACCTGCACGGGGACAGCGAGGATGGAGCGCTCCAGGAGAGCAGGGGCAATGAGCAGACCAAGGTTTGGGGGGTGTTTAGGGGGTTTGGGAGGTGTTTAGGGAGCTCTGAGGGTGTTTGGGGTGACTGGTGACCCTGCGGCACTGCCTGCATGGGGACTGCAGGGATGGAGTGCTCTGGGAGAGCAGGGGCAACGAGCAGACCAAGGTTTGGGGGGTGTCTGGGGTGACTGGCGGCCCTGAGGCACCGCCTGCATGGGGGAGATGGGGATGGAGCACTCCGGGAGAGCAGGGGCAATGAGCAGACCAAGGTTTGGGGGGTTTTGGGGGGGGTTTAGGGGGCTTGGGGGGTATTTGGGGGCTCTGAGGGGGTCTGGGGACTCTAAGGGGTGTTTGGGGTGACTGGCAGCCCTGCGGCACCACCTGCACGGGGACAGAACCCTGAGGGGGACCCAGGGCAAGGAGCACCCCAAGGTTTGGGGGGGGTTGGGGGGTGGAGGGGGTGTGGGGCAGGTTTTGACCCTCAGGGGACGGTCCTGGGGTGGGTTTTGGGGCTGGAGGAGGCCGAGTTCCCCCCTAACACCTCCCTCCCCCCCCCCAGGTGTCGGTGGAGAACGGGGACGCCCCCAGCCCGGAGAAGAACGGCCCCCTGCCCTCGGGTGAGTGGGGTCTGGGGGGGCTTTGGGGGATCCCCTGCGGGCGCCGGGACCCACCGGATCCCCCCTGAGCCCAGGGAGGGCTGGGTGGCTCCGGGGGTCCCGTGGGAGTGCGGGGGGAGAAGGAGGGATCTGGTGGATCCCTGGTGAGCCGGGGGGTGCTGGGGGACCCTCTGGATCTCTGGGGTTCCCATGGGATCCCGTGGGAGTGCAGGGACTGGGGTGGGATACTCAGGATCCTGTGGATCCTGGAGGCCCTGAGCGCGGCCCTGCCCCGGCTCCAGGGGCCGGTACTGGAACTGGCCATGTCCCTGGGGTGTCCCCATGTCCCTGGGGTGTCCCCATGTCCCCGTGGTGTCCCCATGTCCCTGGGGTGTCCCTGTGGTGTCCCCATGTCCCTATGATGTCCCCATGTCCCTGAGGTGTCCCCATGTCCCTGTGGTGTTCCCAATGTCCCTGTGGTGTCCCTGTGGTGTCCCCACAGAGCTGGAGGCCCTGAGCGCGGCCCTGCCCTGGCTCCAGGGGCCGGTGCTGGAACCCCCCATTCCCAATGGTGTCCCCAATGTCCCTGTGGTGTCCCCATGTCCCTGTGGTGTCCCCCTGTCCCTATGATGTCCCTACAATGTCCCCACAATGTCCCCGCAGAGCTGGAGGCCCTGAGCGTGGCCCTGCCCCGGCTCTAGGGGCCGGTGCTGGAATCCCCCATTCCCAGTGGTGTCCCCATATCCCTGTGGTGTCCCCATGTCCCTGTGGTGTCCCCGCAGAGCTGGAGGCCCTGAGCGCGGCCCTGCCCCGGCTCCAGGGGCCAGTGCTGGAACTGGCCATGTTCCTGTGGTGTCCCTGTGGTGTCCCCAATGTTCCCAATGTCCCCGCAGAGCTGGAGGCCCTGAGCGCGGCGCTGCCCCGGCTCCAGGGGCCGGTGCTGGAATCCCCCATTCCCAATGGTGTCCCCATGTCCCTGTGGTGTCCCCCTGTCCCTGTGGTGTCCCCCTGTCCCTGTGGTGTCCCCATTGTCCCTACAATGTCCCCAATGTCCCCACAGAGCTGGAGGCCCTGAGCGCGGCGCTGCCCCGGCTCCAGGGGCCGGTGCTGGAACTGGCCGAGGGGACGCGGCGGCCGCTGGAGGAGCTGATGATGGAGGGGGACCTGCTGGAGGTGACACTGGACGAGGCCCAGAGCATCTGGCGGCTGCTGCAGGCGACCCGGCCCCCACCCCTGCCCCTCTTCCGGCTGCTGCTCGAGGTACGGGGGGGTCCCGAACCCCAAACACCCCCCGGACTCAGCCCTGAACCTCCCGAACC